AGCAAGGTTTCTATTGAATCCTATCTGACCAAAATCCAGGGGAAAACAGGTAGCAGTAGGGTGTTGTCTTATTTCTGTTTCAACTGACCTGGGATTTTTTTGGCCTTTAATTAAAAGAAATGCAGCATTTTATTTCTGCTAACTGCAAAATAAGGAGATCGTTTAGCTGTTTAGTAACAGTAACCTCTTTCATCTAAGTGCAGTTTAATTAAGAGCTAATAAAGCAGAAGTTCAGACAGAACCCTGAAAACAGCATGCTAATTACTTTGCTTTATTAAATACTATTGGCAGCAAGTATTTATAACCTTCAAGTTACCTTGCCGTAATTAGCTCGGTTCTCATTATCTGGTGCCTCAGCCTCCAAGAAGTGAGAAGTTGGTGAAGGAAGTTAGAAATATTTCTTAAATCTCTTGGTTGTACAAATGATTTACCTAGATGAAAGAGCCTAATTACTTGAAAATACGTACTTGCACTATCATCAAGATCATTATTGTATGTGATAAAAAAAACAACTCTAAAGGAAGACCCAGTGACATTTTAAAACAGTGTGTCCTGATGAAAAAACTTTTGATTGAAATCATTTGAGCAACGTTTCTAAAGTGGCTTTTTATGTTTTAAGGATTCTTCACTGGATGCATAAGTTTGGACACCTAAGATGAAGTTGTGGCTCCTGAAGTTTTTTTTTCTGTTGGACACTGAAGAACTTAGTGGGCACATAACTGGGCTTCAGCCTCATACTTCATTGGCACTTAGGGGAAAAATTGGGTTACCTGTTCTCCACCAGCAATACACTTTGCAGAATAAGCTGAAGGTTTTCTTTGTTTTTTCTCTTGCCCTCTCTGTAATGTCAGCTCTGTTAAGAGAGTGCACAAAGGCAAATTAAGCTTTTTGTCTTTAGGATAGATAAAATGTTTTTTTCAGGTACATCCTTATACTCAAAGCAATTATTCTTATTAATTGTTTATAGTAATGGGTGTCAAATTGCTAATCTTGGAAATCCAGAAAAAGTAGTCATTGCATTTTAATGATGTACCAAAATACATAATTTATCATGAAGGAATCATTTTTCCTCAGAAGCAAAACAGTCCAATAAAATACTGATTCCCAGCCATTTGGGCTGGACCTTCACTGAGGCTGTCTTCTGTTCCTGCTTGTCGTGCTGCTTCCCAGCACCCCAGGTTCTGCAGGAGGGGGAGTTTGAGGGAGGCAGGTGGTGTGTGAGTACCCGAGCAGATTCTGCTGCAGTCCCAAAAAGTGCAGAGTGAAAGGACAGCACATCAGTTTTGGCTCATTAAACCTCTCTCCACCAAGAAATCCACTCAGAAAATGGCTTGAGTTCTGTTTCTTCCCTCTCATGTAAGAAATACAATGTGGACAAATTAAAGCTACTTCTGGATAAGAGCTCCCAGAGGGGATTGCTCTGCTTAACTCAGGTGCTTTCACATTACACTTGTTATTAATTTGTCCTTCTTTTTCAGAAGCTCCTTGCCTTTATTGAAGAGCCAACACAACATCAGAAATTTTACTCAAGCAAAATAATTCCTAATTTAATGGCTCCTTTGGTAGTATTGTCAGACAGTAAAGCATTTAAATAAGCAAACATTAAGAGATGAGATCTGCTTCCCAAAAAAAGGAGGAAGAGAAAGGCTTTCTGGAAAATGATGAAGCTGCCCTTGCGTTTCATGCTGACATGAAAGCGTGTACCGATGTGAAGTGTAAGATGTTAATGCTGCAGCACTGTGAGGCTCTGTCTGTCTGCTTGCCAATTTAGTTGAAAAGTACGTGATTACAAGTAGAATTACCAGCATATTGAACTATTTCTCTTTTCAAGTGCTTGAGTTCTTTAGCAGCTTTTCAGCAGGAAAATAGTCATAAATATGTTGGTGTGACTGCACAAAGAAGGCATCCTTCCTCTTTGGTGAACCAGAGTTCAACAAGGCAAACTTGATTTATTCCTTTGATCAAGTCAAGGCATTTGAGTCTGAATATTTGTGTTGATGCTGAAGAAATCACAGCCGTCTGTTCGCTGAAGACAGGCCGACACTTGTAGGTTCTCTGTGGCAGACTCTAAAGCGAAATCGCGCTGAGATATTTGAGGGCGGGAGGCAGGATGGCTTCTTGGCTGTGGAAGTGGGGAGCAGGTTTGAAAATAGGAGTTTTATCCTTGGCTTTTCAGCTGATTTACTTGACCTAAAAAATTGACAGCCTATGTCATCTGTCCATGTCTCTGTCCCGTTTGAGAGATGAGAAAATCTGTTGTTTTGCTGTAGGGATAACATTTGTCTATCTCCTGAATTGTAACAGGGCCTTTTCCTGAGATTTCTGTTTTTACTATTAGTGAAACAAGGGTTCTTTCAGCATGTATTGAACACTTACATTTGATTTCTGGCACTAGGAATTTCCTAAACCTAGTCTGTGAGCTTAGGAGAAGTTCAAAAGAAAGAACTCCATTGGAACTGTGTACGTGAAAGGGATTATGCAGCCAGCAATTTATTTTCTTTATAGTACCAGCAGAAATATAACATGTACTTCATAATTATTTATAAACATATGAAGGCTTGACGGTTTTAAAATACAATATTCAGTACTGGTGTATTTATGTAGCATCTCATACAGTTACCCAGAGGGGCTGCTCATAAACAATCATAAGATATCCAGAAAATACCAGCAGTTTACCTTCAGCTTATAAAACAGCATGTAGAAAAGAAATTTCAGGCTTTTAGTCTCCCTACTTTTTCTCTCTTTCTGTCTTTCTGATGGAAACTCACAGTAATCAGCCCTGCCATCTGCTACTATATATTTTTCATGAGTTTTAACATTTTGTTTTTAGAACCTGAAAGATGAGTAAAATGTCAAGTCGCCCAGAAAATAATCATAGGCACGACAACTCAAATGTTAGCTCGGTTTGTCTGTACCCAGAGTGGTTCACAGCAGGTCTGGGGCCTCCCTCTTCACAGGCAGAGCAGGTACACACCCTTGGAATTAGCTGATACATCCCCAACACGAGGCAAGAAGGTGGGAGCCACACTGGCAAAATTAATTCCCAGGGAAGAAGTGAACTTTGTGTTGCATTGTTAGACAAATGTCTTGGGCCTCTTGCCACCTTCCTCCCTCCTCCCTTTGAAAAGCCTGTTTGCCATTCTAGTTTTCCATCCTGCTGAAACCAGACTGGAGGTGACAAGCTGGGAAGGTGTTAGAAAGGTACAGGATAAAACCTTCAGCTCAAGAAATGCTCACAGCTCTTGATGTGGAGGGAAAGAAGTGAGCAGCCCTTGGTGCCACCTCGCTGTCAGGCTGTGCTCAGGATCCCCTCCCCTCCACACGTGTGTCCTTAGCCCAGGAAGGGAATACCTGCATTATTTGCCTCCTACCTTTCCAACCGTGCAGAGACAAAATTATTTCATTGAATAGGTTCTGAGCAGCTCAGGGTTGGTTTTCATACAAATCCTGTGCAGATTTGCTGCTTTTCATTAGAATAAGAAGCCTCCTCGGAGATCTTCACTCTCTCAGCCAAGCAAAAGCCCTCGTTACAGCATTGCAAGGTTTTTCACTTAATATTCTGCTTCATAAGTCTGGAGCTTGTTTTCAGTTATCTCCACTCTGTGCTTCATTTTGCTCATTCTTTAGAGTGTCTCTAAAACTGTCTCTGGGACAGTTTTCAGGCTTTGCAGTGAAAGATGATGATCTTTACCAGGTGAGCCCTGGGGAAGACCCAAAGTAGAGATTGTATGCTCTAATAAGGTGGATACTGTTTCAATCTGTAAAATGGGTCATATTTTAAGGAATTATAAGTTGAGTGTACTATGCCTCAAACGGACTGGAGTTCCTCATATTTTGTTGTCATTGGCATATAATTGTAGGCAAATCACTTACATTATGAAAATATTCAGGGAAACTAATTAAAATTATTGGTTCATATTTTTCAAGGCACTAAGTTGTCTTTGCATTTCAAGGGTAGGGCAACTGCTAGACCTTTCAACCTTTGGGAATCTCCAGTCATATTCATCTTTTTTGTGCAGTTGAGTACATTGCCCATTCATAACACAGTTACTCTTCTCTGACAGTAGTAATGTTTTCCACCACTTTATTAAGATCATTGTGCTATACTCTATGTTGACTTGGAAAACTTTCTGATGATTTTGCTTTTCTGTTTTTTTCTTGCTTTGCAAAGTTTGGAACACTGGGTTTCTGTGTTCCACCTGAAAAACTGAACGAGGGAACAGCAGGGTGTAAGAGCCTAGGAGAAAACTCCTGAATGTAATATGTAAATCTTAGGAGCAACAAATCAAGAAAAGCATATTGAAACCAACAAGTGAAGCTGTACCTGATGAATAATGCTTCCTCCTTCTTCCTACATGCTGGTTTTTTGTTTGTACTACTTCAGTGCAAGTACACAGATGCTGACAGTCAGTATCAGCTCATTGTCTGAGAAATGAGTCAGTATTTGAGGGAATCTGCCATCCACTTCTTTGGTGTGGATAAGGTTGATTTTGCTTCCTGCTGTCACGCTAGATTTTTCTTTTTGAGTTGCCCATGAGTTTGAAACAGGATGGAAACGCTGTGGATGTACTTGAGTTGATGTAGAAAAATGTAACTCTGACAGCTGCTCTTCACCCTGGTGAATGGAGCAGTGCTGGGGGGGCACAAGAGATCTGAAATTCATTCCTGGCTGTGGCCCAGGTTTACTGAGGGACCAGTGGAAGGTCTTCTCTCTGTGAATGCCTTTGTTTTCCTCTCTCATCATTCAGGGAGTAACCCAGCATTTAATAGCTGGTCATCTTCATGAGGGAAATGATGGTTAGTTTTCATGCGGTCTTTAATCTTTATGTGCTAATAAAAATATCTGTACTGCTCTGGCTTACATAAAGAGCTGGTTTTAAATAGCAAAACCAATTGAAAAGGCACATAACTGTAAAAATATTTATATTGTTATATTAAATTTCTCTGCCAGGTTGTATTTTCTACAGGTATGTTTATATGCTGGTTTGTTTTGTTTTCAGGCCCTGCTTGATACTCAGAATCTTTTGAGAGCCCAGATTACAAATTTTACTTTCAACCTGGGATTTTCAGGAAAATTCTATCACACGGGTAAGAATGAAACACTAAAATTACTTGGATTTTGATGGTGTTTTGTATAGTGTGAGGAGAAGTAGGAATGATGGAGTCTGAGGGCCTTAGAATGCTGTGTTCCTGTATAACTTGCTGGTGTGGAACAGATTAAATGCCTCCCCCCCATTTATTCAAATTAATTCCTTTCAGTCTGCTTTTGAGTGGTCAATTCCACCAATCACATAAAATTTGTATTGATTTCACTGAGGGATCTGTTGAGCTACCACAATTCTTCCTTAGGATTGTTCAGTTTCTACTGTAGAAATAGAGCAATGTATGTTATCCCTTAAAATATTTTTGTTTTAAAACCAGTATAGAAATAACAGAGATAAAAGAGTATTAAATAGGATGTGGGCCATCACAGTGGTCCTGACTGTCCCATTTTGTCACCAGTGCCTCAGCAGGAGGTATTTTAACTGGTCACAGTTTATTATGTTAATATCATTCCTGCTGCTTCCAACTCTTGTAAAAAATATAATGAATGTAGAAACTTGAGAAATGTTTGGGTTTGTTTTTTTGTTTCAATTTTCTCTGCAGGGACTGAGGAGGAGGATGAGGGTGATGACCTGCTGCTGAGATCTGTGGATGAGTTCTGGTGGTTTCCCCACATGTGGAGTCACATGCAGCCACATCTCTTCCACAATGAGTCCTCACTGGTGGAGCAGATGATCCTCAACAAAAAGTTTGCCTTAGTGAGTTACATTTTTGCATTTTTTTATTTAATTAGGTACTCAGGAACCATTAGTCTGTTTAGATTAAAAAAAAAAATCAAGTTTCTGAAAGAATAAATTGAAATACCATTGAAAGGTATTCAGATGACTTTGTGAAACCACTGGATGTTTGGGTAAGTGTGCCACAATTTCAGAGACGCAATTCTGCAATGATACACCTTATATATTCCCTTTGAATCAGCTTTATATAAACTTGTTTTGAAAAGCATTGCCTTTACTAATTATTTATTCACAGCAAAGCTCTGAATCAAAATGTTTCAGTGAGAATATAAGAAAAAATCAAAACATATTTTAGGTCTGAGGATATTGGAGAAACAGTTCACAGTTACTTTTATACAACAAATTGCAATAATTAAAACATGGTATTTGTCTGAAGAGGGAGTCTGGTGTCAAGACATAATTGTATCACAATATCTCAGCAGACACAACATTGTTTGCTGGATTACATCTGCTCTTCTGACAGCCTAATATTCCTTCTTCTTCCTTTTCAAAATCCACTGGTTGCTCTTTAGATGGCAGGTGATTCCTTTGTTCCTGGAAGGAGCAGGGGGATTTGAAATACCGGAACAACAAGGAGTGCACTTAATGGTCGTGTGTCAGTGAGTGTAGGAGAAGAGGATGGACCAAATCAGCCAATTCAAGTTTGTGTTTGAAAACTTGGCTTTTGATTGAGACACATGCTTTCTTTCAAACAAAGATTTCACCAAGTTTGCTGTAAATTGTAGTTGTACAGAGTACAGGACAGCTCTGCTTTAATGTTTCCTTTGAAGAAAACATTGCAGTAGGTGTTAAGATTTCCGAAAATTTAAAAATCTTGTGTCCAGTATTGCCCTTTTATTATGATTCTGTGTACTGGTGCAAGCTCCACTGGAAATAAAATGGGTCCTTGTAGTTCTGGTGTGACCTAGGACACCCTCTGGGATTAGTGTGCAGGATGTAATCGTTGAAGAGTGTTGTAAGGACCATGCATTTTCAACCTTGGCTTATGTAACTTCAGCAATTGCCATTTTCTTCACTACTTTCAGTGCTTTTAATGCTTACAGATACCTTCTATTAATGTTTTTCATGATTAGACATACAGACATAAAGCTACTGGTTATGTTTCATTTGCTCAGAGCATTTAAAGTAATAACAGAGAGGAGTATCCACTTTTTTGCAAGAGGCCGAAATTGGCGATGCCTCGTGCATTATCCACTCAATGTGTGTATTGTGTGGGAGATGCCCAACTGGGGAATAGCAGTCAGTGAGGAATAATGGAGACACTAATTCATTGAAGATGATAGAAGATGATTATTAGAGTGAAAGATTTAGATTACATATTTATTACTGCCTGTTGTGAAACTTGAGGGGAGAAGCCTTAAAAATCAGACTTTTGTTTATAGATAAATGAAGGAGTTGCAGTGGGATGTTAGAGAAGGCAATTTCTTACATGTTTTGTGAAGATTTTCCTTTCTGATGGTTATGCATGCTTAAGGGCAGTAGGAAAGATAAAAGGAAGAAGAATTGGATTATCTGTGATGGAATTAAATCGTGTGAAGCGGCGTAACTGATGGAGGATCCACTCTTTATCTCCTCCTGCAGTACAACCAGGAGGGCAGAGGTTACTCGCTCCTGTTGGGCAGATTACACACGGTGCCCTTCATGGGTGCCATAAATTCCTAGAAGGAAACAAGAATTTCACCATTCTTTAGACATAGAGAACTCAGGGCTCTTCACTGTGGTTGAACCAGGTGTGTCTGTTACATGCAATAAATGGTTTCACTAAAATCACACACCTGTTTTTCTGGAGGTTTTCATGTTCCTCAGTAACTAGTTTATTCAAAGGAAGAGGTCCAGGTATCAGCCAATGCTTTGCACACACAGTATGATTAGGAAATAGGGTGAGGATGACCATATTGATTCCAGCCATATTAAAACTCTCAGAATTCAAAGGCAGTGCAACAGTAGTGTTCCTAAATCATGGCAAAATGATATCTTATGGACTGTGCATTCCACTGATCAGACTGTCAAGGAATATCTGCTATTTACTGTTCCTTTGAAAAGTAATCTGAAGGAAAATGCATTGGATGTGAAGAGAATGTAATGGCATCAAGGTGAGGGTGTACACATGAGAAATGCCAGGAATCTTCAAAAATGGGAAATCTGCTACAAAAGGGTTTACTCTACAACATCCTGTAGAGTGTTACACATGTTGAACATGAGAATAAAATAGTTAAGCTGGTTTTTGAAAATGGATTTGTGTTTTGATTGGACTAGAGGGGAAATGCAGTGACTCTGAAATTCAGCTCCTCATCCAAGTGATTAGGAAGGGACATGTAGTGGAAATTGTGGTTTTTGTAGTTGTAGCTGCCAAATGCTACGTGTTGTGTTGAGTATGTGCCAGTGATTTTCTCTCTGACATTGGAGTTTGTGAGCAAATTCCTTGCAAGAACTTGAAAGAGTGCAGCTTTCTGTTTAATGTAGATTGAAGAAACCAATGTAAAATGCATTTATATCTTTCTTCCCTGCCTACTGGTGTTTTCTAAAAAGGCTTTTGTCTTAAAATCCTGTGCTTCATCTTCACCATGCTGCTCTCCATCACCTTCCAGATCAGCATATTTTGATATTACTCTTATTTGCATTTCAGATCTGTTCTTGGTCTTTCACAAACAAAGCATCTGAGAAATGCCAAAACATCAAGTTTCTTAAATTTTTGAGTGCAGCCATTGTTCTGTCATGTTTCAGGAGCACGGTATTCCAACTGACTTGGGCTATGCAGTGGCTCCACACCACTCTGGAGTCTACCCAGTACACGTTCAACTTTATGATGCCTGGAAAAAGGTCTGGAACATCAGAGTTACCAGCACAGAAGAATACCCACATCTGAAACCTGCAAGGTATAGACGAGGCTTCATCCACAAAAACATCATGGTGAGTTGTACTGCTGATGTTCATTTTTGTGCTCTGCCATTTCATGGACAATTTCCTTTGAAGTGGAAAAGCAGGGTATCCTAGAAGTTCACATTGCAAGAAGCACATACTGCTATGCATAACTAGCAAGATATATTTGACAGTGTCTTGTTAATTAAAATCAGTCTGTTGCTGGTGATGTTTCTGCTGATGAAGGTGGCATCCAGACACCCTGCTGACAGCAGTTAACAGGCTGTTAACAGTTCTAGTCCTGTGGTTAATGCTGGTTCAGAGAGCTCTAGGAACAAGTCCATTTTGCATCATTTAACACAATATGCTGGCTTAGATTTCTGTCAGGTTTTAAATTTGCACGGTACCATTAACTGCAGAAGAGTATTGCCAGATGTGCTACCTCAGAATCTGGATCTGGGTGGGTACATACTTTTGTTTCCCTGTGAACTGTGCGTGGTTGCCCTTGTTTGGCTTCCTGCCGTACACAAATGCGGGCTGGGCTTTGCAGCCTGGTTTAACCCAGAGCCTCAGGAGAAGCAGGGAAGGAAAACACCCCCCACACCACCTCCAGGCTACCAAAGTGCTCTCAAATCCCACTGTTTTCCTAAATTACATAACTCCCAGCTCTGTCACTGACAGCCACGTTTGCCAAAGGAAGGGCTTCTACACAACTGACACGGAAGGCACTGTGCTGTTGCCATCTGGGCACTGGGGTGGAGGCTATTTCGGGTTCACATCTCATGGGTATTATCTCAGAAGTGTTTAAAAACAGCTTTCCAGAATACTTGGTGGCATGTTCCCAAGTAACTTTCGTTGGGAGCAAGTGGGAGAGCAGTGAATGGGAGCCCTGTGTTGTACCTCTGGCTGCAACAGGCACTTCTGGGAGGTCAAGAGCCTTGGCACAACACTGCCATTTAGGACAGAATTCTGGTATTGTTCTCACGTTGCCATGGATACCACTTCCCTAAGCTAAGTAGTAGCATTTTAAAGTTTTGATCTATTTTTGGGTGAAGCAAATGAAAATGATCTCCAGAAATCTAGGAACAAAAGTGACACCAATCTAGGGTTGAGCTACAGTTTGCTCTCCTCAAAGCAATCACTGCGTGTGAAATAATGGGTTCGTGGATGTGCTCAGGGAGCACAGAGCATTTGGGGAAGACAGATTGACTCAGAGTCTCCAAAAATCCCTTCCATAAATATTTGTGAAAACACGTCATTTGAAGACACATAATGAGATTTAACACAAGGACACTGCAGCCAAAAATCTATTTCCAAAACCAGTCATACAAAACCACCTGTTCAGGGAGTCTCAAGCTTTCAGTTCTCCAGGGCAAATGCATCAGTATTTTACACCTGCAGGCTAATAGTAATGAACACACTCAGTAAAAACATGGTTGTGTAAGATTTGTCAGAGCACCTCACATCAAGTACAGCTTCATTCCCTGCCTCTGTGAAAAATTGTTCACTTATTTCCTCAAGGAAATCCAAAGGTTTGTTAAAAACTTAGGCAAGTTTATAGCAGATGTACAAATTCCATCCATTTTCTGACAACACAGAATTTGCGATCGGTGATCACAATATTCTCTACATTACAAAAAAGAAGTTGAGAAATGAAACTTCAAGAAATAAAAGAGTATCTACAAAACCACAGCCTGTGTCAAATATTTGTATGCTTTAAAAGTTAATCTATCATAACAATCCCAGTTAAGCTCTATACATGAACACCCATACTCAGCTGTTGATTTTCCATAAGGAATAAGCATAATTTAATTACTCTCCAGTAAATTATTTTCTGAATTCAGGAGAAAATACTTTCAGTTCCTGATGAAAAACGTTAACTGCATTTACTGGTTCTTCATATTCAAAAGATTTGTTCTTGTAATGTTTTTAAAAAATAATTTTGCTTGTACTACATATTTCAACAATAGCACAGTTGCATGGGAAGTAAATATTTCTTATAAGGTGAGCATTATTAGCAAAATTTCTCACGTGTCAAAGTAGAATTATTGGTGGTGATGCCTAAGCTGAAGAAACCCCAATTTGCCTTTCCAGTTACAGTTTAAATTTACAACAAAGCCATCATTCAGATAAAAGTGGAACTGATTGATACGATACAGACTGATAATATTTTAGATTATCTTTCACATTATTTTAAAACTTTAGACTTCAAATACTTGGATTTAGGATGAGGTGTTATGGACAGAATGAGTTCAAGGAGGCTGTAATTGTAATTTGATGATAGAGATCAGTCTCCAATTTCAAACAAAATGTGATGGATTTTTGGATGTTACGATTTTAGTGATAATAATTCATCTAGATCAGTATTGGTTTCCAGAAAAGTTTAGAGGCCAGATATACCCAGCAATTAATCTGTTACATGTTACTTCTCTGACTTTTAGCATCATTAAAAGCATAACCCCTTGAGTTTTTTATGTTTTCTTCATACATTCAGGTGCTTCCTAGGCAAACTTGCGGCCTATTCACGCACACCATTTTCTATAAAGAGTATCCTGGAGGTCCAAAGGAATTAGACAAAAGTATTCAAGGAGGAGAGTTGTTCTTCACAGTGGTTCTCAATCCAGTAAGTACAGCAGAATTTTGAAATGTTTTTTAAAAATTAATTGAAGGAAAAGTTACTGAATGTTCCAGGGCTGATCACCTGTGTCTTCCAAACAATAATGGTTACTGATAGTGAGTTCTTTGGCTTTTTCAATTAAGTAAATTACCATCTATATATGTTCTGTTAGTTATACAAAGCAGTCTTCACCTTTTTTTGTCAACTGTTTTGTTAGTAATGCAGCAGTGCCAGCCTGTCTTGTTCTTCACTTTTTACATGAAATAAGACCCCTGAGATTTAATTTTTTGAAGAAGTTGAATGTAAAGAACTGCTATGAGTGTTCAGGTAAAGTTCATTTCTCTGCTGTGCCAAAGTCGTGATGCAAAGTGTTGGGAACACTTACAGAGGTGAGAAAGCTGCAAGCGAGGAGGGCTTGGGCTCCAATCAGTTTTGAGAAATTTCAGTTGCTCTCTCATAGCAGCTTCAAAGAAGAGATCCAAGTAAAAGAGCCACAGAGTTCAAAGAAAAGATCTGAGTAAATGAACCACATGTGCTTAACCTTTCATTTATCTTTAATGGAAAATAAGCAAGAAGTGAGGTGCTGAAACTACAGAATGCTGACAGAAGAGAGCAGTGTAGTACTTGAAAATGGCATGGGATTAGGTCAGCTGCCTCAGAACTGACCTTTGAGACAGGCTTTTAGATAGGGCTTTCACTTGGGGTCCAAATCAAACATACAAATAAAATTCTGCTGCTTTATAGAAATGTAGTCACTAGGAAGATCAAAGAGAACAAAACATTTCCAATCAAATCTTTTGGAATAACACCCTAAATATTTTGTGCCCTTTTTTAATCTTCTGCAATGTAATGCAGTCCAAAGGAAAACCATTTCTGAAAGCTACTTCAGCAGTTTATGTGCAGCTGTATTTTTCAAGCCTCAGATGCTTTCAGGCTCTTTGAGAGCAGTTACTGTGTTTTGTTCCCCTTTTTTGTGTTCACATAGCAAAATTAGGAAATACAAACTTTACTTCCTTAGTACACTTGTGGTTTCCCTTCTAGAAGGTGGCAGTGGTTGCAGTTCTGGCTTTGATGATGTGTGTTATTCCAGACACTGGATAGAATCAGTCACAGAGTGGCTTAGGGTGGAAGGGACCTTCAACACCCTCTGCTTCCAGCCCCAGGTTGTTAATAGAGCTGAGATCTGGAAAATTCATTGTGTGGGGAGGGTATTGGCACCATAGCAGCTCTTTGGTAATGTGGGTTTTGACTAGAAGTTGCTCAGTGGGCAAATTAGAAGAAGGCACAGAACAATATTTTGAGTCAGGACAAAATATATTCCACATTGAAATACAGCCACAACAGCCAAAAACTATTTTACAATGTGGGGAAACAGCAAAATTTAATATGAGTGCTTGAGGTATAAGCCTTTTAAATTAAAAGAATTGTGAGAATGGAGGGGAAGACAAGCAGTGAACCATCCATGGTTTTTGATATTCATCATGGAGGTTTGATCATGTCTGCCTGACATCCTGGAATGTGAGTACAGTAATGTCTTTTTATACATTACAATCAGGTCTTTGATTCATGCATTGCTGTGTAGGCTGTGTGATCACTTATTTCTGAAAATTATTTCTGAAAATTATCATAATTGTATCTGCCCAATACAATACAGGCTAAGAGAACAGAATGCATTGTTTTCTAAATCTAACTGTAAATGAATATTTGGCCAAAATCTGCCCAAGACTCCTTCTAAGGAGTGCCTTTGAAAAGATGATATATCTGGTTTGTAAATACCTGACTATAAGGAGTTCCCAAAGTTCTAAGCTTTGCACACAGTCAGTTTAAAGACTGAGGTTTTTATCTTTGTGGGGTTTAGGTCTTGCATGTATTTATGTCACACTTTGCAAGTCAGCGTTGGGCAAAAATTTAGACATTAAAATGAAGACTAAGTAGCTTTAGGAGTCTGTCTGGCATTTTGAATTACATAAGCTTTCTTGTGTTTTCATCAAAATTGCTGGGATTTCTTTATGTGAAACACCCAGCTGTTGAGAGGATGCAAAAATTCCATTATGAGACATTTTCAAAATGTTATTTTTCACTGATACAGAACTAAGCAGAGAAAACATTACCCATGAATCATTACAGTGTCAGCTAAACAATGTTCTCAATAATGAGTACATAAATAGTTCGTTTCCAAACCTGGAAAATGTGAGTGTGGATTAAATGTTAATCTTAACAAATTTCTTCATTATATTTAATTTGGAAGTGAATATCATTTGTCAAGTGTAAGTTTCCAGGCTGAGACTTCAGGAGCTGGATACCCTACTCTGAAATAGGTGCCCCTAAGAATGAAGCCTGAAATTTCTCAGTGGTTTGCAGTGGTATAAGAGAGGCTCAGCCTCCTTACAGTGTGCTCCATCAACCACCACGCGCAGGATAAACCACAAGAAACCACAGGACCGTGTGTGCAGCTGTTTTTGTCATGAGAACCAGCATGATGGTCCTGTTCCCAGAGCACTGTACAAAGCAGATGTTCTGCAGGTAGCAAAAGCCTCAGGAAATGCTGCTCTGTAGATGCTGGGAACCAACACTTGGCTTGTTGGAGTAGCAAATCTCAGAGCTGGCAGGTTGTGTGGTTTGCTTTGGTGACTGGGAAGCGATCCTGACCGCTATTCCTGTAAGGCATCCCGAATTCTGAAGTGTCACCAAGCTGAGAAAGAGCCCAAGCACTAAGAGAGCACTAAACTCCCTCTTCAAGTAATATTTTGTGCGTCTGTCTCCCGTTAAAGATCTTGCTGACTGCAGCGGCCCTCGGGCGAGATCGTGCTATATCAGGATCTTGCACAGAATGTTTCACAGGAAAAGAAAAAGCAAGCTTCAGCAGCCTGTGTTATTGGTATACTGGCATTACTTCTCCCACGTTATCAGTTGAATAATTGACATACAGGGAGGTGGAGGGACTGGCACTGATGCAGCCAGGGAATTCTGGGGCAAAGCCACAAGGAAAAGGTGCACTGTAGGAGTGTGTAGTGATGGGTATTTTACCCAGTCAGACACATCTCTGGTTTATTGTCTCACATTGTTACTGGTTTTCGTGCTACTGTACTGACTTTAAAACATTTCAGCAGGTATTTTTCCTGATAAACTTGTTAGAATCTTGAGTGATTTCAGACTGATCTCTCTCTCTGCAAAATCCAGTGAATTTCTTAGATTAGTAAAACAAATTTCTGTTCAATGTTTCTTAGAATGAAACTGTACCAGTTTCCTGAATCTGTCCTTTGGATGAAGAGAGCCATTAGGTTTGAGCTGTGTGTAATGAAGAGATCAGTATAGACACTGCCATCAGCTCCATCACTGCTTCTCAGATCCTTTGAGCTATAGAAGATACAGATCTGGAGCTTTTCTATCCCATGAGATGAATGTTTAAGGGTAACCAACAGTTCATCAAGTTTTTCTGTACCTTTTCTGCCCCTAAGAAAAACAAACAGAATGCAGTAATTGCATTACAAGCACTTCCTTGCAAAGTACTGTGTGTCTGCAGATGGAAAGAAAAGGGAAAATGCCCTGTGGAGAGGAATTTGGTGAAAACCTTCAAATGGTTGACAGCCCAACAATGAAACTAATGTGTAGCCAGCTGTGTGCTCTTGACATGGTTACAGCAGCGCTGATGAAGAGGAAAGGCTGTTAATGCTTTAGGCACTTTGTCTGATTGATCTTAAAATAATTGTAATCTTTGTGTGTGTTCAGTTCTAAGTATTATTTTCTTCTAATTTTTACCTCTCCCCAGTTGCAGTGAGTAGAGCTGTTATTAAGCTAATTGACTTGCAGCAAGGGAGAAATTATCTTCTTTAGCAGTGAAAATGAGAGGATTTGTACGAGCATCAGCGGAACCTGCTGTATCTTAATGTGACCCTGAACTGGCACTACAGAAGAAAATGAAAATCCAAGACATTCAGACTCAGCTTTTCCATTTCTGTCCATCTTGCTTGGCACGACCTCATATGTAACTGTCCTGAGTGTGAGAAGCAGGGAAAATGGTCCAGTTTGACAGGCTTGCCCCACTTCATAGGTGAGAAAGGCATCACTTTTGTCTCTTCCCTGCCCTCTCGTGCCCATAATTCCAGCAAAAGCTACCATCAGTTGGGGCAGGGGGGGAAATCAGTTTGGCAGAACATTTTGGCTGACTGCAGAACACAGGTATTCTTTGCCTTCCTATCTGTTCTTCAAAATCCACCCATAAAAACCAGAGAGAGAATCTGGTATTTTGTGGGTGGAATAGGAAAACAAAAGAAATTCCCAGGTGAGCAGGCAGTGTGGAGAGGCTGTGGAACAGACAGGAATAGCTGTCTCTTTAGAGTTGGTTCCTTGTAACAGCGGGCAGGAAATGCATTGAAACTGTGGCAATGAGAAAATTTTATTCTTCTATGGTCCTTAAAATTCTTGAATGGAAATCTTTGTGCCAGTGGTTTAGAGTGAAGTGAGTCTTTTGAAGAGTACTACCACTGCTGAGTCACAAGGGGAATGAGCAGCAGCAAAAAATAAACTTGGGGTTCCTGACTTGTCAGATCAACAATTCAGAACTACATCAAATAGACAATTTTGTTTGAGTTCATAACTCTTCCCTGGCTCCATCATACTTAGAGTGGAGATACCACTATGTAAATGGAATTCCACTGGTTGGCAGTCTGCGAGTGGACGGGTCTGTGGCAGCTGTGAAAGCAGCAGGGCAGCCTTGGGGCTAAAAAGGGAGCAGCAAGCTGGAATCTCTGTGGTGGAATTGACCACAGCTTTTTCTGCAAGCATCCAGCTCTGAAAGGACTGTCTTTCAGCTATTAAAAATACATATTCAATATAGACTCTGCTCTGATTTGTTATTCCATCACTTTGGTAGTCTAATGGAGCAAAACCTGCTGTTACTGAGTCTCTGAATACCTGAAACAAAACTGTTCAGAGTAACTTGGAAACAATAGCAGAACTGCAAACAGGGTGTGCACAGTGCCAAATTAATTGGATTATAGGTGTTCTGAGAGTTGGATGTACTCTGGTGGCCTGTCAACATGTGCTCAGTAGCTAAAATGCCAGCAATATTCCAAATTGGAAATGCGTCTGCTGCGAGTGCCTAGCCGACACCACAAAATTAATTGTCAGTCATAATTTAACTTCATTTTGAAGGGTTGTGCATAACTTCATTGAGTTGGGAGGCCTCAATGCAGCCTTGTAATGTTGTTGCACAGATGGGAGGGTGACATTGTGCCTGTGACTAAAGTACCTTGATGACAGGTTTATTAGCAGGAATTTATGCAAGTTGGAATTGCCCGCAGTAGATCTATGTATGGTAAAAAAATAAGTGCCCAGTATGTAATAATTGTTTATTACCTGTTTTTTTCTTATACCAACACTTCAAATTTCAGATTTGAAATGCCAAAATAATTAAACTCTTGAAGATCATCAGTGTCTTGCAAGTCTCAGACTTCCCTCCACTTCTCTTGCTGCTGCAGTTGATGTCTGAAAGAAGTCTTCTCTCTACTCTGGGGTCTGAACCTGGCAGCTTTAGAGAGACCCCTCACCGCCAAGGGAAAAAGCCAGGAGCCTTAGGAAGGGCTAATCCCTCCTGGGAATGGTATTATCATTCCTTTGGGAGGCAAGCACCTCTGTTTTGTGTCAGGAAACAGCAGCTGTTATTCAAGACTCCAGAAGCTTAGTTTGAGCAGTGTTCTTGTTGTATCATTTCAGTAGGTGCAGCATCCTAATAATCTTGATTTTGTAGTGATCAATATTTTTTAAAACACCAAGCCAGTTAACAGCCATTACTAGAAGCTGGGTAACTTGTTGCATTGTTTTATTCTGTGTAAGTTGTTTGTCAAGCATCTCTTCTGTTCTTGATACATAAATTAAATCATGCAGGTTCATCTTTTCCTCAGACATGATTTAATAGCAGCAGCTCCTTCTCAGTCTCAACTCTTTGTTGACCTAGAAGCTGTTGCCTCTAATTGGGAAATGTTGTAGTAAGGAAATGTGCAGCATAGAATGAGCAGTCAAAAAGATAAAAGCTGTTTCTCCTGAGTGCTTGTTCTCATTTCCCTACATTTCTGCAGTACCAGTCAGAATTCCAAATAAAATCAGGACTGGGGAAGGAGAGCAAATGTAATTTAGACCTGTATCCTTTCACTCTGGGGAAGGAGAAAATGCTGAGAAGAAGCTGGAAGGAGAAGGCAAAGCAGAGGAGAGCAGCTCTGATCTGAAAATGTGTGAGAGCAGGAAAGGAGCTGCTGCCCAGAGGCCAGATTTAGTCCCAAACCATCATTTTAAAAAGCGTCTGCATTCCATTTTGGTTCCCTCGTGAAGGATATTAAATCCCGTGGAGAGTGTGCATTGAAGTGCAACCAAGATGATGGTTTGTTTATGAGGAACAGCTAAAAAAGGGGTGATCCTTCTGCACTGAAATAAAGAAAATGCTGAGATGCCTGAAAGAAATTATTTCAGAAGAGTGCTGGAAATAATAAAATCAAATAAGCTCTTTTTATCTGAAAGGAAGGTTAAAATGCTTGTTAGAGTAAATATAAATCCATTCACAACTGCTTCCCTGTTGAAGGAGGAATAAAGAAATATATGAGGCCGTGTTTGTATTTTACAGCATTTCCCAGAGGTGGAAGAGTATTGAACAAATAGTGTTATTTACTAGGTCTAGCCTTGGGAGATGGCCACAAAGGATTCCTTTTAGAGCTCCTTGATTGGTGGTTCCAAGAGAGCAAATCTTCAGAAGCATAGCATGAGAAGTTGCAGAGAAAGAATAATGATTCCTGTTAATTAGAACTTGTTTGAATGGCTCAGGACGTGGCATGATGGAGCAAATCAAAGCATTATAAAGCCAGTATGGAAGGGAAAAAATCATCATTATGTTTTGTCCTGGTGTGAAACGGCACCACCTGCAGATGGAAGGGGATTGATGTGTGTTCCCTTCCTTCTGCACAGGGAGCTAGGGAGTGATCCACCATCCCTCTCAGCTCATCTCTGGTGCTTTTGATGCCATCTAGAAGAGTTTTTTCTAAAATGTTAAGTCATGTATCTGGTTGGCTAAGTATGGATTTCTTTACAAGACTCAGCCATTTAAGTTTTCAACCAGCATTTGATCATCTTTGTGTTGTAAATAATTAACCATAAAGTACTTGACTTGAAAAATAAAACTAAAATTGGAGCTTAGGTCTCTGGTAATCTCCCCCCTTCACTTTCAGAGTTTTGTATGCTGGAAATTATTTATGATGATATTCAAATACTCAATTCAATGAGTCAGTTTCTCAGCCTGTACTGACATTCTTAAAATTACGGCGATATTCTCTTCAGAGAAATCATTTCCCTGATCTAGCAATCTTTTCAACTTCTCTCGCTTTTTCTTTCATGGCAGTGCAGTAGCTGTTGGCAGGTGAGGAGTTGCCAGGAGGTGAATTGACATTAAAAATGTCAGAGGTCAGCCCACATGTAGGAAAGAAAGGGGCTGTCAGGAAAGCAAGTTAACCTTTTTTTATGGAAACCTGCTGATTGTGACTTCAGTGAGAACAACGTAGTCCTGTGGCTGCTCTGTTCCTGCTTGAAGAACTGAAATAAAAAAGGAAACTTGAAAAGGTTATACATTTGGTGCCTAAAGGGAAGGGGTTTTCAATCTCAGTCCTACCCACAAAGAAAGATCATCTCCTAGTGATTTAGCAGTGTGTATCTTTTGATTTTACTGTAAATACCAGCTTTTCATTCTTTTCTTTTTCTTTCTTTAAGCTGAGGACTGGAATTCCTTTGCAAAAGATTAACTTCAGTCCCTGAACTCATTTCAGAATTATGACCATGATAAGCTTTGCTTATTTTAAAGTGGCTTGCATCAGGTCTTACTTTAAATAGAAATTGCTCATTCATGGCATTAGCAGATTTATTTATAAAAAGAGTCATGTTTCTAATTTTTTAGTGGAAATTAGTCTGGAGAGTTTATCTTGGCTGAGTTCTACTTTGAAAAGAACTTCAAGAAAGAAATCAGTGGTGGAGAGGCAAGGATGTGCAGATTTCTGTGTAAGAGCAGACTGTTGCATCAGTGCAAAATTTCCTTGGAAAGGGATCAGTGTAGAAAACAGAAGGTTCTGTCTGCAGCCCTTCCTCAGTCCCTGAGAGCTCATCCTGTGTGTATTCCTGCTCTGCTCATCAGCTCGGCTCAGGTGACTCCAAAAATGCCCCAAAAATGTGAGAAAGCTTGACGGAAGCAGAGAGTGAGGAAGTGCAGTTGGAGCAAGGGCTGGAGCGGGAGGGTCTCTCTGGGTATCACCTTCAGAGTCAGATCCTGGGAGAGGAAAATACCACCTGCCTTAAAACTGTTGGGGGGTTTTGTTTGGGAATATTTCATGCACAGTTATTTGAAAGTACTTAGGTTTCAGATATTTTTTGTGTGTGTGTCAGGCCAGTGTTGCAGAATACCTTCGTGGAAGAGATGAGCTACTTACTCTATGAAACTTAGACCTGCAGCCAGGAGATGGAAGTCACAGCAACAGACCTCAGCTGCTTCCCTAGTCTGTGGCTTCTCTACTCTTCCATGAAAACAGAAATTATGTTTCTAACATTGCATTTGTATTCCTCTTACAGTAAAGCAGTGAGCATTTTATTCTTTTTTTGCTGTATCCTACGAATGAAATGCACATAGAGGTGCTGTCAGTGTTGCCCAACCCCAGGGTAGTGTTGCACATCCTGCAGCTCACAGAGCTCATGGGATATGTTCAGCATTTTCCTCGTTGACTGCATTGAGTTGACTCGAGCAGAAGGGGCCAGGGTAGTAAGGGCTGTGTGAATGTGATCCAAGGCTTGCTGCTCTGACTGAAGAGCAAAATGCAAATGAGATTTACATTACCTGGGGCTGCACTGCCATCTAGTGATGCAAGGACTCGAGGTGTGCTCTTCATTTTGTCTCCCACAGATCAGCATCTTCATGACACACTTGTCCAATTACGGCAACGACCGCCTGGGCTTGTACACCTTTGTGAATCTGGCCAACTTCGTTCATACCTGGACAAACCTGAAACTGCAGACCCTCCCCCCAGTCCAGCTGGCTCACAAGTACTTTGAGCTATTCCCTGAGCAGAAGGACCCTCTTTGGCAGGTGAAGGCTGAACAAGAGATCAGAAAAACTTGTCTCTTTTTTTTTAAAATTCTTTGTTTCGGTTTCTTGCAGAGAAAAGCAGTTATACTTTTAATCTGGTTCCATAAAACCAGGCCAGCTGAAGCTTCAGGATGTGACTGTGTTCCCTGTCTTTTGTAAAAGGCTGTGAAATTAATATGCATTAAGATGTGTAATGAAAATTTTCTTTAATTAGTTTGATTTCTGACTTGACTTGCCTTTTTAAAAATGTGGGGGAAAGGCAGGCGAGTGCATGCTGTGTTATTTTCTTCTCCTTTTGGAACTAACAGGAATAAAACATTTGACAGGCATATTTATATGCATATTCTAGTAGTTAAAGAAATGAGTTTTTCTCCAAGTGTGTAAGGAGGACATCCAAAAAGAGAACAGAGCATTAAGACCATGGATACCCTAATTAGCCAAGTGGAAGTAGATGAGATAGATCAGAAATTATTCACAGTAGGCTGGGAGCTGCCCAAGGAAGATGTTTGCCAAGAAGCTGTAGATACCTGAGTCCTGACAGTGATAACATTAACCTAAATAAAATCTTGTTAAGGTGGCTTGGTAGAAATACTCCACGGAGCAAACTTTACTAAATCAAATATAAAAATGTATTTAAGCTTGCTTACTAAAATGTTTTCCAGCCTTGGATATTGAATTGCCATCTTAGGGTCTGAGATTGCAAATTTGTACTCAAATATGCATCTGGAAATTCATGCTGGTTTTGAATAAAACATTGAACTAGAGGGGAAAATGTCAAGGGTTTTGCATAATATTGAGAGAATCCTTTTAAAAATGGAAATTAGCCTGTAGCCAAATTAGTTGAAAGATGATAATTACTTAGAAAAGACATTTTTAAGTTGCAGGGATTTAGACATACTGGATGTGATGTATTTTGTCCATAATTGATGTGATTTTGAACACAGGTATATATTCTTACTTCTCAAAGGGGTACATTGAGATAATTCTCTTCATCTCAGTGTAGTATTTCCAAACAACAGTGTCAAAAATTGCTTGTGAGTAGCATTTCCAGAACAAATTTAAACTGATTCAATTGTGAAGCAGCAAAGATTAAAGATTAATATTAGGTACTGATTTGAATTGGAAGATCAAAATACGTATTTGCAAATAGAAAGCCTTAAATCATAGTTAACTTACTCTTTTAGTTTTAAAATACAGCATGTATCGTGTGGTAGCTGTTACAGAAATGGGGCAACCATGTATGTGTAGGATATGTTTCTTCAACATCCTCTTTAAAGAAAATTCCAGACACTTAAGAGAAGCAGGTTCTGACCTGGTTACTTCGGAAATACCATTCTGTATCACTGGAATAGTTCTGGAATGCATTAGTTTTCAGTCATAAGGGAAAATAATAATTTCTGGTAAGAATATTTCTGTATTTCTAATATTTCTATGTGTAGGCAAAAAATAGGTAATTTATATATTTATATCTAATATTTATATTAAAATTATTATAATATAATTATTTATATATAAGGGTAATTTAAGAGCCTTTTCAAATGTGATTGCCAACAAAATTCTGAGTTTTCTTCCCTGTTTTAGAACCCCTGTGATGACAAACGGCACAGAGATATCTGGTCTAAGGAAAAAACCTGTGATCGCTTACCAAAATTCTTGGTTGTAGGACCCCAGAAAACTGGTGAGATTTTCTTTTATTCCAACCAGATGGGCTGTGTGTATGTTGAAATAAGTAAATAATCAGTCACTATGGACTCAGGCTACTGTGTAGAGATCTTGATCATCCAACAGCATTTTTATATTTTCAGATACCATGCAAATATAGCTTAATAATTTAAGTTACAACAGCAGTCAGTGCACATTGAAAATGCAGGCTTCAGGTGTGTGTCAGGTTTTGGGGGGCTTTATGTCAAAACGATGAAACTTTGTTAAAGAGGTGAAAGAGACAAGCTCTTGTCAAAGTGGAAGAAGGAAAGGACAGGACAGAGACATCTTTCAAATGGGTTGGATTCTGAATTGCAAGTTCTTATCTTGCCTGTGTCTTCTTTACAGAACCTTGTTATTTCTCAGCATTTTTTTCAAGTCAAGGAGTTCCTAATGGACAGTTTTAATTAGGAGATTGCAGAAGTTTATAAATTGACTCGATGGTTTTTTTCTTCTCTGTAATCAGAAAATTGCATGTAAACTTCCTTTCATCTTCCCCAGTCCCCAGTAGCTGCTGAACCAAAGGTTTTAAAATTATTTTTGTGACAGTCTCATATAGGAAAATCGTTGTTTTCATTTCATTCAAAAACATGGCTATTTTAAGCAGGAAACACAGATTTCATCAGTGGCACTCCAGTGTCTGTATTAACTATTTACAGTTCTTTAAATGTCCTAATTCTGAAAGCTCAGAAAGCATAGAATGTTAGGTGATACAAATCAACATCCCCTCAGTGAAATAAAATGGAATAAAAGCTGGTTTAGTCCCATCTGCAGCTATGATCCCCCCAAAAAGATGTGTTTGTGTATATTTTTATTTTAAATCTCGGACTTTTATCCTATTTGCAGGTACTACAGCCTTGTATTTGTTCCTGATCATGCATCCTTCCATCATTAGTAACTCCCCCAGCCCAAAAACCTTTGAGGAGGTACAGTTCTTTAATAGAAATAACTACCACAGGGGGATTGATTGGTAAGATGGGTTATTAGTATAAATATAAAAGTTTATATGTTGTGAACAATAGAAAAATGACATTACTGTTGGTAATGGTAATTGTGCATATATGAAATAGCATTCAGTGTCTTTCTGAAATGCAAAATAAATGCAAGTGAATAATGATCTTATAACAGAATATGTTAAATGCACTAACTTTTGTGAGGCTTTGTTGTAAATAATCCAGATACCAGTATGTGCAGAACAGTCACAAAATATGTGTCTCTTGTTACACATGCCTTTGAAAGAGGGACAGTAATGATTGTTCATTGGATATATGGACACAAAAGTTATGTTCCTGCTGGAAATCTGATTTCTTAAGAGAAAAAGAAAGATACTATCAGGAAGAGGCATTTCTTCTTTCAAATAGGATATAGCATAGTAATAATGTAAATCATGAAAAATGGGGGCAGGGAAAGCCTCTCAAAATGTTCTTTAAGGATCAGAGAATGTGGCTGTGTGGCTCAGGAAGTGGTGCTGGGACAGAGCCTGTGTCCCTGCTGCCACATTCCCTGTGGTTCCCTGGGAGTCACCGGGCACGGCTGCACCTGAAGGTCACTCCTGATTCCTCTGCTTTCCCAAAGTGCTGCACTGTAAAACACTGCAGCATGAAAGCTGGTGACATGCTGTAGTGGCTGGGGAGCACCAGTGAAGGATTATTGATTTCTTGTCTTGTTTCTTTATTTTGCCTCCAGTTTAAGGGAGAATACTTTTATTGCTTTTGGCTTTGTATTCATCCATAAAATTAACAGGTCGAACGCTCTTCTGCAGTCTCAGTGCAGACACATCAGATCCAATTTGTTTGTCTGCCACTCGTTTCCCCAGAGTTGTAATGGCTGTGGCACATTGTCACTGGGAAGGGTGGTGAGTCAGCCACTTGTGCCAGTGGAGAGGTGCAGGGTGAACGACTGGCAGTGGGAAATTGCTGCTGAGGAGTTCACGCAGGCGAGGCATAGCGGCTCCGCGCTGATGGAACAGCCCAAGTACAGCGAGCCCGTTCTTACACAAAATCAATGTTTTCACATTGCTGGAAAACTGCTGTGCTGCTTCTCTCTTCCCTCCTGCCTTAGGATTGACACCACACAGGTGTCAGGTTACCTTCCTTAAGGTGGTGCTGGTGCATGAAGCTCCCAGGGGTCAGCCTGTGGAAGCCAGGCACAGCACCCACCACCCCTGCCAGGTTCCCACAGTTAAATCTCAGATCCTCACAACTCCCCGTTGGTGTAGTTGCCTAATTCTCAGATTTCTGTCTGCCAGACTGATCTCTCAGACCGCCTAGTCTGATACTGTATTTCAATGCCGGCTTGTAATCAGCTTGCCACTTTGTAATTAGATACAAGGGCTCTCCTCATTAGTCCATTAATTGGCTGAGATTCCTGCAAGAATAACAATCAGTTCAACTTTGTTTACTTATGTGGAGGTAGGGCTTTAGCCTTGAGCTGGCCCTTAGTCTTTGTCCAAGCTTGGATTTAGAGCAGAGCCAGTTACAGAAACAGAAGAGGGTTTTTTTACCATCAGAACCTCAGGATTACCGTTTTGAAGGTGGTGTAGATGTAAATTGCAGGCTTCCAACAGAAGAATAGTGGCAGAACAGTAGGATGAGAACTGATCTTGCTGTTGTTGAAATGGAGAAGTCTAAACAGAGCAGTCCTGCATTTCTTTATGTAAGCTTTGTTACAGGTTTCTTGGGCAAGTTTCTCTAAAGCTTTGGCCTTACTGAATTTAATAATTATCTCACGAATGAGGGACTGAGCAAGACTTCTGCAGTGTGTCCAGCAAAAGTGCTGACTCTAAACTTTGAGACCTCTTGATATCACACCTGGTCCAATCTCTTTATATTTTTCACTGATACCACATCAATGTTGTTTTTTTTTTTCAAATTTTCCATGCTATCTAAAGAATCAATTCACATTTTTTTGATCAGAATTCAGTGTAGTGCCATATTTGATGTTAAAGGCTTTCAGTCCTCATTGCCTTGCATTTATCATTTTACTTCCAGGACTTCAGTACAGCAGCATAATAACTCCTCACATGATCTAGAGTAGATTTGCCCCTAGTGCCTGTTGCCTCACTCAAAGCTGGCCTTCTCCTTTCCTGGTAAAGCATTCTGAGCCCACAGAGTCAGGCCAAGTCATTAGCTTCTAATAATTTTCTGAATAAAAATGGGTTAAAATGGGCACAGCTTCATCTTTCTCATCAAATCAGCCCTAATACTTCTGGGAAATAAAAGTCCATTGACTTCAGTGGTTACAATTTCAAAGGCAACAAGAGCACATCATCATTTGTATTGGAAGTTGCTCGCTTGTATGAATACAACAAAGTCTAAGCACTGGAGGAAATCTCAGTCCTTAGGCATGGTCTTGAGAAGAGGCTGTTTAAATAACATTTCTTTTCTCAGTACAGGTTAACTGAGAAGTCAAGAGGGCCAAAATTTCCTATTTATTGTTTTCCTCAGCCAATAACAAGAAGTGGTGTGAGGGCCAGGGATAGAGAAGTCCTTGTATGACAAAGCAATTGCAGGAATTTAACTACAGCTTCATAACTGATGAGGAGAGCTCACAAAAAGCCCTAAAACAACTACAACCCAATTTTCCCCAAAAATGTGACTCAGAAAAATAAGTGATTTCTGTCCCTGCTCAGAAACCTTTTACCTGCTGAAGCTGTGGGGGATTGTTTCAGTGCATCTTCACTGTATAAAGAGCCTCTTAACTCTTCTCAGTGAAAGCAATTCTGATACTAAGTAGCTTTTTCTTACAGCATTGCACTTCAATTTGTGTCGGCAAAAGGCGAGGTTTGGAAAACTCAATTTCTACTTTAGGCTTCAGCAGTTTGTTCTGACTGCAAAGTGAGAACTTGTGAATTTTAAAATACATAAATACTGTAACATTTTTACCCAGTTAAAAAAAAAAAAAAAGCTGTAATGTCTAATTACATGGAGTGAGAAGCAAGCTAGTACCAAGTAAAATATGATCAAAGGTACAATGTAAACTTTGGTTTGCTTTCTTTTTTTTGCAATTAGGTTTTTATTTTAACTGAGTATTCTAGAATAAAGTATGCTTAACAGATTTTATCAGCCTTTGTGTGATTTTTAAGTAGTTCTGAGGATGATGTTGCCTTCCCAGGTACATGGATTTCTTTCCCACTCCTTCTAATGTCACCACTGACTTCCTCTTTGAGAAAAGTGCCAAAAAAGTGCCAACTATTTCCATTCTGAGGAAGCTCCCAAGAGAGCTGCTTCCCTCATCCCCAAGGCCAAGATCATCACCATCCTCATCGACCCGTCCGACCGCGCCTATTCCTGGTACCAGGTATGCACTTGGGAGAACATGGGCTGGCACCAGGCCAGATTTCCACCCTGAATCCTCTCTGTATATCCTCTCAGGATATATCCTTGTATGTGTCATCATCCATGGGCTGAGATATTTGTTGTATTTTAAGATATCAATAACTACTTTTTCAAGTTATCTCTATAATGCAAGCATGTAAAAATGAATACTTAATTAATTTATGTAATCAGCACATACAGAAATTAGTATATAGACACAGTTATCTAGTTCATGCTCAAAATACAGGCTAGGCTAAGAAATTTTTGTCAGTAAGATCAGCCAGTTTTGCCTTGTTTCCCCAGCTTTTGTGGTCTGTCAAGTCAGACAATGTCACTTCTTTTACAGCATCAGCGATCCCACGAAGACCCTGCAGCCCTGAAATTCAGCTTCTATCAGGTGATCACAGCTGGCCCTCGAGCCCCCTCTGAGCTCAGAGCTCTCCAGAAGAGATGCCTGGCACCTGGATGGTATGCTACCCACATTGAAAGATGGCTCACTTACTTCCCACCTTACCAGGTGAATAAGACTCTTAACTTCCTCATCCTATAGATATATATTTATATGTATAAATGTATATATACTGTCCTAAAAGTTTCCCTTTGTAGAACTCCTGCCTCCTGATCTTGGAGATATCCTACAAATTGTTACCTTCCTTCTGGCCCCCTCTAAGGTCAAGCCTCAAAAGATGTACATCCTAAGCCCTGAACATCATGTGATAACAGCAGACCGGGCAGACAATATCACATGATTGGTATCTCCTTGGGAGATTTATTTCTGGAATGGAATTTTGTGACATTGGCAGCGTGTCTGGCACTGCTCCCCACCCAACAGTTAGAGGGAGGTTGGCTGCAATCCCAACCTTCTGTTTATCCAGGAGTCTTGTAGCTGAGACAAGTTGGCTGGAGTCTGCACCTTCTGTTTTCCAGGAGTGTGCCAAGGAAGCTCCGATGCATCTAGCTGCTGTTCTTCTCCACAGCCTCTCTTTTCAGCCAGCCTTGTATCTCTCTTCACGAGAGGCACAATGCTGTAATATCCTGACTCTCGTATGAAATTCTCCTCATTATGTTTTCAGCAGCTTTTCTCCACAAGTAACCCGTGAATATTGAATAATATGCATTGTCATGCAGATTTTTGCCAGCTCTTATGTCCCATAGTGACTGTGAAGAATCAGCCCTGATGGCCTTAGGTTTTATGTGGAAAAGTAGTAGCCATTAATACATTTTTTTCTTGGCTGAGCCAGTCTCTCTCAATTTCCTGACAGTATTTCTTATCTTTCTAGATCCTTCACTGCTGTGTGTCTCTGTTGTCACAACAGCTTCCAATGCAGTATAATTTCAGATTTTATTAAAATACTATTTACCCTGCTCCCAGGTCATTAATGATGATGACAATTAAGACTGGGCCCATTGTTATTTCCTGGGACAGTGCTCTCCATATGATGGAGGAGTTCGACAGAGGAGAAAGTTTCAGTTGCAAGCCTGAAATAATGAATTTCATATTCAACCTCCATTTATTTTCTCTGTTGTAGTTGCTCATTATTGATGGACAGCAGCTGAGAACTGACCCATCTACTGTAATGGATGAAGTGCAGAAGTTTCTGGGAGTCTCTCCTCATTATAATTACTCTGAAGCCCTCACGTGAGTTAATTAGTTCATCATTTTCACATGTTCCTCCATTGCTAAATACCAGCTAGTCTAGAATAGTCTCTATTCAGCTGGCTGCAGAATAAAGCCCTTCATAGCTCTTTGAGCAGTTGGCAGGGTGAATTGTTCAGAACACAATTTGGGGTTAAATTTTCCATGAATCGTTCTCTGAGCCACGTGGCTTTTACAGAAGTAGAGCTCTGACGGACAAAGTGCTGCTTTGTGAGAACTGCATATGAATTTCCAATGGATCAAAAAGAATTTTACTTCCATAAGTGGAACACTGAATGCTGATAAGCAGAAACAGAAAGCAAATAGAATAAATTTCTCTTTATTTTTGGCATTAGCTGGAAAAACAGATTCAGTTACATCAGTCAGGAATGTAACATCCACTCCTCTGGATTCTGACTCCCAGATTTGGGCACACACAAATTTTACACCGCACAATGTTCGTTTCAGGTTCGATTCACATAAAGGATTCTGGTGTCAGCTCTTGGAAGAAGGAAAAACCAAGTGTCTGGGAAAGAGCAAGGGCAGAAAATACCCTCCTATGGATTCTGAGGTAAACCGTGATGTTCACTGGCGTTGTACAGGGATTCAGTTGGCACACAGGGGATATGACACAAGCAAAATCGTGAGAAGGGAGAGAAGACAAAATTAAGTTAGGTGTTAATTATTTGGCTGCCTTTCCCTGCAAAGGAAACGTTTAAGGTGGCTGTGGGCTCCATAGACATTCACTTCTTTATTTCAAATGGGTAGATTAAGTCATTAAAAAACAACAGCAACAAAAACCCCCCACAAATTCTAGAACTTGGCACCCCTTAGCACATTAAATCTGCTGCTCCTGAAGTCCTGTCCCCTTTATCTTTATGGATTTCATCAGCAGAAGCTCTGCAGTGTGGGTTTCTCCTCAGTCATGATCAGATAGGTGTATTTGTGTGGTTCCTTGTCTCTGAGACTAGTTAGGCTGTGGCAAGTAATGCAGGCACTCCCATAATCCAGTTTTAAGAGAGGTTAGATTCTATTTCTATGGATTGTATATATACCCTCCCAAGAAGAATGCTCAAATGGGAAAATTTCAGTGGGATCAAACACTGCAGCCTGTACCCAAGAGCAGTTCAGTCTCCTATTCCAGCTGGAACTTCCATGTTGATTCTGTCTTGTGTTGCCATTTCATTTAGCCTGCCTAAAGTGTATAGAAAAACTAACAGTTTGAGCAGCAGTAACAATTAATGTACCAGGTAAGCTGGAACTTTATCTCACAGTACTCAAATTCTAAATAACTTCACATCAGTAGAGTCATATTGATGCAAAGCCATTGGGTGAGAAGGATTTTGGTCAAAGACTGTGTTTGTGCAAACTTGTCTTTTTCAACTCTAAATACTTCTGAAAATGTGGGTTCCTAGCTGATACAAGCTTACATACAAAGATATTCCAAAAGCTGTTATGTCAAGCACACTGCAATAAAAGTATCTCCACCTTCAATGTGATTCTAAACTTACAAGACTAAGAGTAGAATCAAATTTTGCTTTGACTTTGGTGTTCATTTTGGAGAACCTTTGTTTCCCTTGAAATTACCTTTCAGAGTTCAGCTCCTTGCATGTGGTAGATGGCATAAAACAATATAAATTGCATAAAGGAAGTAAAGTTTTCTCACAGGTCAAACCAACTTTGAAACCTCAAATTCACAGAATTACAGTACAGCATTTTATTAAATAAAAGCCTCTCCTTTTGTATCCATCAGTGCAGGGCCTTTCTGTCGAGCTACTACAGAGATCACAACGTGGAACTGTCAAAGCTCCTCCACAAACTGGGACAGCCCCTGCCATCGTGGCTGAGACAGGAGCTCCAGAAAGTGAGATAGCATTGGAAAAGAGCTTCTTGAAATGTCCTTCCACACTTCAGTCATCATATCTGAGCTTTCCAGCAGCTACCAGAAGGTCTTGTAAGATATACCTCTTAAAAAAAGTGTAAAGGATAGAAATTATTTCCATATGCTGGCATGTGGATTGTAAAAATACATGTGTTCCTTAGAGCTCTGGTGGGCCAAATCTCTCTCATAAACATTTCTGGGCCTGTGGACTTGTGGACTACTGTGCACATATGTGAAAGTTATTTACAACTGGTTTAAGTGTCAGAGATACATGACCTGTCCAATCTCACAGTAAATATTCACATTTTTATCTATCAGTTTTAAAGTATTGTGTCTCATGTAGGTTTTGTAGCCCTTTGTTGGACCACTGGCAGTTTTTTCTTATAGATTTGATTATGGTGTTGCATAGGATAAGATAATGTAGCACAAAATGCCCAGAGTCCTTCTTGCCTTTGGAATCAGCTTGCTAATGCCCAAAGTACGTGCAAACACAGGGGAGCAGTACAGTTATCATGTATCATTTGGCTGTGCATGGCAGCAAATGCACCCTCAGGCAACATCTGCAATCCACAGGTGTAGAAAGAAAACCAAACAGAAAGAAGCCAAACAGAACCTGCGATTTTATCTGGTAACAACAGACAGTGTGGGAAGGGCCGGTTCATATGTCTGATTTTTGTACTGACTGAGATGTGAATTACCTGAGCAGAAATGTGATTGGCTGTGTGAAGCACACAGGTTGCAGTATTAAACAATTGTGACCCAAACTGGAGGAATACAAAGAAGAGGTTTCCACTCCTGCGAGCAGCCAGAGCCGAACAATGCTCTCTGGGCTTACCCTGCTCTGTAACTCTGCACTCTCACTTCAGGAGTGACTCCACTGACATGAACGAAAAACTCATAAAAAGCAGAAACAGATCCTTACTTTTATTGCCTTAATTTGCACCACTGTTTTTTCCTTAATTTATTTGCCTTTAACCTATGCTTTTCCCCCCTCAGCCTCATCAAAATCGTAGCATCTTTCTGCAGCCTTCAGATGACACCAGCTGCAAAAATTACCCAGATTTCCAGATGAAAATACCAGTTCTGTTTCCAGATACATTAAACATGTTTGGTATTAAATATTAGGAAAAAGCTTTAGAGGGGGACAAAAATAAACACCGTGTGTAGTCATGGTAGAAAATGACTACTCAAATCATGGGAAAACATAAATATCCACCCTTGCAGGCTGATGTTTATGTGGTAGTTCTCAACAATACATCTCTCAAGGCATCAGTGTGGATGCAAGATCAGGTCTAAGCAGTAGTGCTTGGAAGTTGAGGAGGATCACTGGAAACTTCAGCTAAGTGTGGCCTTAATGCTCCTCACTGAACTTTGGCTCTGAGTGTTTCTAAAGGCATGAAGGATTTGTGAAAACAAATAAGAACTGCAGTACTAAATACAAGGCTTTATACAGGAGCTGTGTAATGTTTTCATCGTTTGTTTCAGGGTGAATACTTAAAAACATGCATCAGATGGTGGAAAAACTTCCTAATGTCTCAGTGCTGTTTTACGACATTTATGTAATCATGCAATTTAACTTGCAAGGTAATGGAATGGAAACCAGTCTGTTATTCCCTAAATAGAAAACAGATGTTGAGATCCTTACTGTACCTCTAACTGGTAATCTTTATTATTTATTGATTTTTTTGTCTATGTAATATGTGGTTTTGATAGGCCTGTAAAGAAAAAAAATCTAGACAAATTTGCTGTATATAACAATATTCTTTACGCAGCACATTTTTGCTAAGGGAATATGCATGACTAAGGATGAGGACCTACTAGAGTAGACATTTTTTAAGATGAACATTTCTGTTATTTATTAGACTGAGAATTTCATTTCACTTTAAATATTCAGTCATATGGATTTGTCTCAAAAGCTGACTTGTCTTAAAGTACTTCTTATTTGATAAAAGAAACACTCTGGATTCAGAACATCTGTAAAATGCAAATACTCTGCATGCTGTGGACAGCTCGTGCATCCTGCAAGCATCCATATAGATTTGTTACAGCTAAATTGAATAACTGGAGAAAATACCTGGGGTTTTCACCCTGTCATGATTGATTTTCCTCTTGATACAACCTGGTATAACATCACTCAAATGTTTCAAAAATGCAGGGATTGCACAAAGCTCCTGTTGTGCACTGCTGCCTCAGTTACTCCATGTTCTTCAGTGAAACAGCGTTTTAAAATAGAAAAAATGGGGAAGACCTTGGGCACTGACAAGTGCCTGGTGTATTCGGGATGAGAACACAGATTGAGTGCCTCCTACATGCAGGAGGAGTGGCCTTCAGCCACATTCCTAGTTCATTTTTTGTTTTAAAGAATTCCCTCTCTGTCTTCTTGCCCTGGGAAAGCAACAGATGGAGAATGAGTGGGCAGTCAAGGACAGAGTGGTGACATTGGTCACATTGTCCCCTGGGGAATGTTACAGCCCATCTGGGGTCACCACGAGGCACTGGGACAATAAATCCTCCACGTGCACGGCCTTGGGTGGATTATTAGTTGTTTGTAAAAGGATGGTATGAAGCCATGGGAGGGGTTTATTCCAGCACTATTCTATTGAAATGTGTTCTTAGGCTTAAGAGGAGCCTTTAAAAAGCACTTTTAACATGCAGGCAGCTTGGTGGAGGAGGAGGAGGCCGAGCACAGCAGGCAGACAGCAGCTGGGTGGGTGTCAGGGATGCACCTGGGTACAGCTGAGTAACCAAGGCACACCACACGAGTTACCTGATGTGTAACCCCTTCCATTCACAGCTTACCTGCAACCAGTGTTTGATTTCCAGAAGTACATATCAGTATTAATACTCTCTTAAAAAAACAGATTTGCTGCAACAAATCTGTTTGCTAGTCCAAGTCAGATGTTTCATCGCGGCTGGTTAACACAGCCATGGTTTCTGTTCCCCTGGTAGGTAACTGCACAAGCGATTTCTTTAACAACTGCTTGATTTTGTGAGTTTCATCTTCATTTTCATAAAGGTGGTTCTGAAATTTGCTTTCTGCAGACATCAGTGCCATTAAAGAAACAACACGTGGTTCTGAGCAGATACTGACCATTTGGGGGTGTAAACGCAGAGCCTGATCTGAAATCACCTAATGATTTGAGTTAACATTCCTGAGAATACTGTGACATTTTCCCTGTTCTACTTGTGCAGAAAGAATGAGTTTGAATGATTTGCAGACTATCTTGTACAGAATATCCTTTTTCATTGCTTAAAAATGTGAAACTTCCTCAGGAAGAAATTAAATAGATATTTCAATGTTTATAGATGTAATACTCTTGTCATTCACATTGAATGAGAATTGCTGGAAACATTTTTCTCAGAGTTTTTTTAAATAAAAAATAGATATTATTCTGATAGTGGCATGGTATTTGAAGTGCAACAATAAACTCTGATAAGAAAATGTAGTGCTGTGTGGAAGTGACTTTCATGTTCACAGAAGCTGTCCTTTTCCAGGTTGGTCAGGAGCTATTGCAGCTCGATGCTGAGCTACAGCACAATCCAGCAGCACAGGAGCAGCGTGAAATGTTTTCAGAAATGAAAAATACTGCTTACTCTTGCTGTGAGTGAATGTTGCTGCTTTATGCAGCTGCTTGTTTGACTGGTTTTGCTTCCTGCTTACTTTTTATTTCTTGTGCCAGCACTTGCTAATGCGCTGGAGAAACATCTCCAGAGTTTGCTGTTTTTAAGATAACAAGGAAAATTTATTCAAACCATTTGCCTTGGGGATTCAATAGTTGTGCCAATGCATCAGCCTACACAGACATCAGAAAAGCTTTATTTGGAGAAACCTCTAAAGATGGTATGAATGTCCAAAGGAAAATTCTCTGTTATCAACCAGTTCTGAACAGAACACAAAATCTGCTTAGGAGTGTGGGAGATGGGAAACCTACACTAAGAAAACATGTCTTTACAGAGAAATGATGCAACTTAAAATTAAGAATTCTAAGCTTCTTGTGTAATAGCCATCTCTATAATCTTTAAAGAAAAAAAATCTTAAAGTGAAGTAGTAACAGGCAATAAGAAAAGGGGAAAGGTCCTTCTTACAAATAATAATAATAGCTTCTTGGCCTCTGCATGAAAGTAGATGAAGACAATGTTTCTTTTCAGTTCTTCCAGTTCACAAGTTCCTAGAGCTCAAAGGCAAAAGACAATTAAAATACACTCTTTTTTTTGTTTCTCTGGGTGACATGGATGGAGAAAGCACAACAGTCAGCAAAGGGCAAATCCCAGGAGCAGGAAAGCGATCAGCCTGAGTGGAGGAGGAACTCAGACAAAGTAAGGGTGATCTAAACAAAGATATGCTGAGCCTGAGACTTCCCTGGGCTGACTAGTAATATACCTAGGATGACTAGTAATAGTTTAGTAAGCTGCTGTGGTGTGAAAGTTGCAGCAATTAGGGGATTTAGACTGGACATTAGGAAGCATTTCTTTATGGGAAGGAGTTCAGACACTGCAACAGGCTCCTTGGAGAGGAGGCTGGTGCTCCAGGCCTGTCAGTGTTTAAAAATAATTTGGAAAATGCCTTTAACGACGGGATTTAACTTCTGCTCGGCCCTGAGGTGGTTGGGCATTTGGACTGATGATCCTTGTAGGTGCCTCCCAATTGGAATATTCTGTTCTAAATCCAAATTAAGGCGTGGACATTCGGCCAGCCCGCAGCTGCTTACATGGACTGGAAAAGGAGAATAACCTGTGTTCATCTAGAGGGATAACTTGGTTTTCCTAGCACATCTTCCACGACCTTTGAGTTTTATTTTAGTCTGTGGTTTTCAAGTATCGAGCTGTATTACTGTAGCACACGTGTATCTACACAGACAAAGCAGCATCGCTGTCTCGGATCAGCTGAAGGTCTCCGCTTTGTTCTGGAGAACGCCTTAGCCCGTTTCCCCCGGGGCTGCTGCTCGCTGTGCTCGGGCAGGAGCGGGAGCCGGAACGGGACAGGGATGGATCCCAGTGCCCGGCCGCGCCTTCCCGCTCCTGGCCGCGCTCAGTGCGCGTGCGCGCCGCGGCCCCGCCCCCAGACAGAAGCTCCGCCCCCAGCCCGGGGTCCCGACAGCGCCCAGTTCCCGCCGCCGGCGCGCGAGAGTGGGTCGGGTGCTGATGGGGCTCCGCG